ATGTACATTAGAGGGTTCCATTACAGCATATCAATATTTGGCAGGCATAATTAGCATTTGATATATCTAGACAGGGTGGCAGACTTTCTCTAATGAATAGAGGCTCCAATCCGTTCACCAGGGGCCCAGAATTCAGATCTTGATGCTCCCAAGGCAACCTTGCCTTGAAGACAGGGAGCCGAATTAAGGAGACTGATTCTCTTGTGTATTTGTCAAGGTAGATGGAAAAGAGGTATCACTCGAAGATAATCCTTCAGTGGTTATTATAAAAAACACAAAATTTGCTTTGTGTCAAAGGTCGTTGTTACAAAATAATGAAAGACAAAACTTGGAAGCATCACTAAGGAGGAAGCATCACTAAGGTTCACATATCAGAAATGTTTTAGCTTTACTTCAGATATTCAGGACTGTTCTGTGAAAATGCAATCGGAACAGGAGAACCTGGGAACAGTTCAGGTTTTTTTTCTTTAAGTATTTTGTTCCTGCAAGATTAACTCGGGGAACGTTTATAAAGAGTTGCTGTTGCCCCTATATGAATTAAGGTTTCTCTGATTCTGAACTGGAGCCGCCGGCTACATTCAAGTGATTGTCCCTTCCTGCATACATTTTTGTTTGCCTTTTACAACAGGGGCCCCCAACCACCGGTCCCCGGACCGGTACCGGTCCGTGGATCATTTTTTACCGGGCCGCAAAGCTTGGGCACTGCCATCTTGTTTTGACGGCGCTTCTGGGTTTTCGGTTGCTTCCGGGTTTTTGGTTGGAACGTGCTTCCGGGTTTTCAGTTGGAAAGCGGCGTTTGGGTGCTCGCGCCTTAGTTTCGTCGAGGGGGGGGAGGCTTCGAACGAAGAGCCGTCCCGATGGCGGTGGAGTCTCGCGTTATTCAGGTACTGGTCCGTGGAAGAATAAATAATCATGAAACCGGTCCCTGGTTCAAAAAAGGTTGGGGGCCACTGTTTTACAACTTTGAGTGAGTGGTTACGTGCCATCAAGTCACTTTTGGCTCCCTGTGGCCACCTAGAGTTTCTCCATGATAATGAATTCCCAAACCTGGTCTTTCAGGTCTTCCAACAATGTAACTGAGTTCCATTGTAACTGAGTTCATCCACTTTCCTGCTGGTCATCCTCTCTCCTTCCACTTTTCCCAATATTAGAACTTTCTCCAGAGTGCCAGTTCTTCAAAGGACATGTCTGAATTAGGATGTCTGAGCCAGTCATTTGTGCCCCAACTGAGAACTCAGGCTTGATTTGTTTGATGATCCAATCATCTGTTTTCTTAGCTGCCATGGTATTCTCACACTTTTTTAACACCAAAGTTCAAAAGCGTCAATACTCTTCTGTCCTGTTTCTTCAAAGTCCAATTTTGCTTCCAAAATGGCTTGCAGAGTTGGGATCTTTGTAGGTGCAGCATCTCAATAAATCCAAAAACTTCGTGGCTGCTTTACCAAGTACTAATCTGGAATATATGGCTTGACTACTTGTTCTTTGACTGTTGACCTAAATGGCAGAAGCTATCAAACATTTTACCAACCTTCCTTCCTTCAAGAGGTCTGCCTCTTGAGATAGATAGATAGATAGATAGATAGATAGATAGATAGATAGATAGA